GGGGGATAGCTTTGCTCTCCTTTTGTCATCTGTTTTTCCTTACTGCAAGGCCTAGTGGGTTTTATCTTACGGTTGTTGTTGTTGTTGTTGCGGTTGTTGTTGTTGTTGTTGTTGCGGTTGTTGTTGTTGTTGTTGCAGTTGTTGTTGTTGTTGTTGTTGATGCTGCAGTTGTTGTTGTTGTTGTTGTTGATGATGCGGTTGTTGTTGTTGTTGTTGCAGTTGTTATTGCGGTTGTTGTTGCAGTTGTTGTTGTTGTTGATGCGGATGTTGTTGATGTTGTCCTCTCAGCTTCTGCTGTCTGCCTACAGGTTTAAGCAGGGCATTTTATAAATAACCGGAATTATTTAAATTATTATGCAATAAAAACTTGCCCCCCCCTCGACATGAACATATTGTGCGTCTCAGCATTTAAAAAACAACAACCCTTTGATGGCAAATCGTAAAATGTGTCTCAAGATCTAAAAAGAAGTCAACACTATCAAAATTTTAAGCAGCAAAAAGCTTTTTATGGAATCTTTAAATTGCTTCTAGTGGGTGGTTGGCGGGTGCTGTGGTGTGGTTTGCTTCTTCTTTCCTATCAAACATCTATCGTCCTTATCTCCCCTTCTTCTTTTTTATGTTTGTTACTCTCTTGTAAATGCAGTTGCGAGCGCCGTAAAACCTCTACTAAAACTAAAACAAACAAAAAACAGCCCTTTAATGGCAAACTTTAAACTGTGTCTCAATATCTTTTTAAAAAGTCCTCTGTCAATACTATCAAAATTTAAAAAAACAAAAAACTTTTTATGGAATCTCTAAATTGCGTCTCTCTTTACACACACACACACACACACACACACACACACACACACACACACACACACACAAACAAGGAACATGCAATGGGCAGCCACCAAACTGTCTCAGTATGCCTACCTTTCAGTGGTGAAATTTTGAGTGTGTCTCAATGTTGTTGTTTTTTTTTAAACCCCCAAAAATACTTTTGGTGGCAAACATCAAAATGTGTCTCAATATTAAACATCACATTTTTAAAAACCCCTATAGCCAACTTTATCATGCGGATCTTATGTCTTAAAAAACCTCTCTCTGCCGCTAACATTCTGTGAATAATAATAACACTTAGAACGAGCTTGGAAGGATGGCTCAGGACAGAGATAAATGGAAGGAGCTTGTATGTGGCCTGTACCCTGCCAGGGGGGGAAGGCATTGGTGATGATGATAGCAAACTTTATAATGCGAATCTTATGTCTTAAAAGACATCTGCCGTTACATTCTGTTAATAAAAATAATGAGGATGATGATGATGATAATAATAATGATAATAGTAATA